AAAACAGTACAAGGTGGTAAATCCAATGCCCAGAGCTTCCCTTTGGGAATGGTGCGCACAGGTCATTGATGAATGGTGAAGACGGCTAGGTCGACAACCGTTTTAATGTTTATCGGATAGGGGGAAGAGTCACGGATCGGAGAGCGAGATTTTTTCTTGCCAGAGTCTCGACTGTCCTAGCAATGAAAACTGAGGACGAAGTAGACAGGCACGGATGCAGGAAAATCCAATACATGTACAAAATGTTTGCACAAAACTGGTGTAAGTCATGCAAAATGTTTGCACAATGCTACAATTCAAAATTATGTACCTTTTACTTCTGAAGATGCTCTCGGAAATACTTGCGGCGTCTGTCGATCCCGTTTCCAAGGCCACGTCGCCGTTTCTTGCGACGACGGCCGGATCGTGAACGCACCAAAGTATCCCAGACCTTCTCTGGAACTTTCTTTGCAACCCCGTTGAATCTGACGTGGCTCTGCGCCAAAACCTCCTATAAACCGTCTCCGCAAGTTGCTCCAGAACCGTTATCCGGAACTCTGTTGAACCTGACGTGGTTCTGCGCCAAAGCCTCCCGAACCTCCTCCGGAACCGCCTCGGTAATCCCGTTGAAATTGACCCGACATTTGCACCGAAGCCTCCCAGAACCTTTTCCGGAACCTTCTCCGGGAACCCGTTTAAACCTGACCCGGAAAACCTGAGGAGCCCATTAGGTTGGGGAAAAAACATCTTGGCTGACAGCCGAAGTGTAGTCAGTAGCATTGTCCAAAACCCATCTTTAGTCTTGAGGCTATGGATATCTTACGTTAGTTCACGAGGATTGGTGGTTGGATGATATTCGAACACATATGTTCGAACAAGGGACGACGGAACCGCTCAGCAAGACCATCATCCGAACCAGCGGGTGCCTGTGGATTTGATGTGCCTCGGCTGTGAAACTGTCAACTACCCTCAAGTTCGACTTGCCCAAAAAAAAGAGGCGGGAGAAGGATATTAAAGTGATCCCCACACGGACTACTTACTCAAACAGAGATTCTGACATGTCATCTGGAAGTTAAACGCGCCATGGATTTTTGACTATCTGAGGCGTATTCTATGTAGCATATGCACTAGCTAAATTTGTGCGTCAGAGTCTTGCAAAACCTTGCATCGGAATCTATTCAGCCATCCTATCCAAAAGGCATTCTGGCGTAGTTCTTGCCATTCGTCCGGAATCCGTTGAACCTGACCCGGAAAACCTGAAGACGCCATTAGCTCGGGAAAAAACATCTTGGCTCACAGCCGAAGTGTAGTCAATGGTATGATCCAAACCCATCGTTGGTCTTAAGGATATTGATATCCTGCCTCGGTTCACGGGTATTGCTTATTGGATGTTAGTCGACCAAGGGACCACGGAATCTGTCAGCAAAGCCATCCTCATCCTCCGAAGGAGCAGGTGCCTGAGGATCTAGTGCGCCTCGGCTGTGAAACTGTCAACTCGCAAAGCCGCAAGGAGGCTGTCTAAAACTATCAAAAAGCCGAAAGATCGATAAGCCCAAAAAAAAATACTCGGCGGGGTCGAACCTCCGACCTTTACGGTTAAGGTCCTTATACTCTACCGACTGAGCTAGACAATCCTGGAAAAAAAACTGTGCTCGGCAAACTCAGGTTCAAAAAGATGTTTCAGGACAGGATCTGCCACAAAGAGAAAGCAACGGTCACAAGCAGAGAGGGAAGGAACAGAGAGAGCTGACGCAGGTACAGCCTCTGTGCGCGGCAAAGCCACTAAAAAGGTCCAAATGGAAGCTAGTTTGACGTCAGGTTGCGGCGCCCCTTTTTGGAGGATCCCGGCCGCTCACGGCTCAAAAAGGGGTCCAGCACCAGGAAAAAGATACAAATCTGAAGTCAGGTGCCGCTGGACCCCTTTTTGGAGGATCCAGAACGCCGGCAACACAAAAAGGGGCCCAGCAGCTAGAAAATGAAAGGCTGGATCATGGAACTCCAAACGAACAGGCTGCGGGACCCCTTTTTGCCAGATTTGGGCTGCAGGATCACCAAAAAGGGGTCCAGCAACCTGAAAAATCACACTGATACAAAGCGAACCTGCTGGACCCCTTTTTGCAAGATTTCGGCGCCAAAAAGGTCCAAAAAGGAGCCCAACAAGCTTTTACCAAGCGAAAAAAAGGAGCCAAAAGTCTGCACCAAAATTCTTTTTAAAACGGTGCAAAACTCCAAGGACGCCCTTAAGGGACACCAAGCAAATTCCAAAATAAGCTCGGGTACCTTATTCTGAGGGCCCCAGTCTTTGTTTGTACCAACAACAACAACAACAACAACAACAACAACAACAACAACAAACACGCGGGCCCACAACAAGCCATTGCATGTATCTATATATATATATGGTACCCCCCCTGAGATCCACCTCAGAGCCTCTTGTATCATGTGCTTCAAGACACGTGCACATACATATATATATATACATATAAGACACACACACACACACATAGATAAGATAAACCCTGTTTTGTTATCTTGGTATATCTGAAAGCTTGTAATATGTAGAGAATCACAATAACCCCAAAACCTCAAAACCAAAAAACAAAAAAAAACAAAACTTTGAAGAGACTCTTTGGTTTAGCCTCAAAAGATTGTTTTTGTTGGTTTTCCTTGCGGTTTTTTTGGTTTTGAAATGCAAAAACAAAAAAACTTGAGTTGTTTGGTTTTTGGTGATTTTCTCCAACCATAAACCTTCAAAAAAACAAAAAACTCAAGGTTTTTGTTGGTTTTTGCATTTCAACATCAAAAAACAAAAAAACACAAGGAAAACCAAAAAAAATGAGGCTAAACCAAAAAGTATCTTCAAAGTTTTGTCTTTTTTTTTGTTTTGAGGTTTTGGGGTTATTGCCATTCTCTTTATATATATATATATATTACAAGCGTTCAGAAAAGTTGCGATGTTTTTAGAAAATTCCTTTCAGGAACGTGATCATAGTAAGCAATATGTTTGCAAGTTGCAAGAATTTTGATATGTTATTTAATATTATAAATGTAAGTGAAAATTTTATAGTAGATATTATATATGGCTCTTTACTATTTTAACTATATAAGATTTGCAATATGCAGTTGATTATGTATAATAAACACATCTAACACAATAGTAATTTTACTCATTTTTTAATGTTGATTAGTGAATATCTTAATTTTACTTAGTGCTCGTTTTACAAAAATATAGTATATGCATTTTTTAAATGGTAATAGAATATTGCTGTAATTACAAAGTAAAGGCGCATTTGCTTAATGTATAAATATTCTTATATTATTTTATCATCATACTTATGTATGTATTAAATAGTCTTTGAATATAAATAAACTTCTACATGTCATCAATACTATTTTACTAAAAAAAAGTGGTTATAATATTATATAAGTACATTAGTTTATACATACAATGTTTTCATGTCTAATAGTATTTAATCTAATAGTAATAGCATATCTAACATTAACAGCAATAATAAAGCAATGTTTCATTGTTATGGGTACTGTAATCCTAAATCATATGATATGAAAAGCTTAGAGCAGTACTTTCAGCAATATAATATAGGAACAAGCAAGATAGAAGATTCTGTATATGTTTCTAAACAATTTGACAATGAAACAGTAGAAGTATCTTAATTGAAATTTGGATCTGTAGTGATATGGGGAGGTACCCATAATCAAAGAAAATATGTTTTATCGTTTTTTGAAAACTATATAAACGCATGTTATCTTCTTCTCAAGACAATATTTTATATGAAAGTGCGATGATGAGATGTTTGTACTCATCAGATAATTCAACTATTTCTACAAACGAAGAAAGCGACTTAATAGTTTTTAATCAAATTAGCATTTTTACTAAACGTGCTGTATCTTACGCTTTAGCTCAATCTGTTAAACTAAGCTCTTTAGAAAATTCTGTGGAAAGATTACTAGAAAACACTCAACCAATACACGAAGAGCTTGCAAGAAAAGGTGCAATGTCTTTATCTAAAAAAGAGATTTCAATTAGAATAGTGGTTTTTTTCAAGAGAAATATTCTATTAATGTGCATAGTGATGTATTGGATATACCAGGGTTTTTTTGGAAATGCCTAACTACGAGCCAATATATTCTTTAACAGCAAAGTTGCAAGATATGCAATCTAGGCAAAATATACTTAATAAGAGACTAAAGATAGTAGAAGAATTATATAGTATACTTACCGATGAGCTTAATGTAAAACTTTCTAGTAAGCTTGAAACAATAATAATAGTGTTAATAGCAATAGAGGTAACACGAGGTTTAACAACTCAGTTGCACCAGTATTTTCTAAATTTACTTATATAGCTATTAAGATTAGGTAACTAAATATGTTTGCTATATGTGTGCTGTAATTTAAACTACTTAAGAAATATTTTCTTGTCTCACTAATTATGTATTATCATTTTAATTAGTGGTATGCACAGGCAATATTTTTTTGGCATTAGTATATTGATGTGCACAGGAGAATAGAGAAGTATTATTTTTAGGTATTTCTTTTATTTGCTTATCTGTGAATTATTTTTTTCTTAGAGTTCAAAATAGGTTTTATTCTAATTAATTGGTTTTTCTCCAAAGTAGTAGTTTCACCAGATTTAGTTCTCTCTATACCTAACCTGATTCTACTTTCTTCATTATCTAAACCAAGCACATTACTTTTTACTGTAAAATGTTTATTTTGCTTATATTGATTAGCAATATCTTGTCAAACTTGCTTAGATTCTACATCAGATTCATGAATAAGCCCTACAACATCTTTATCTAAATCTTAAAGAAAACCAAAATTTGTAAACATACATGCTCAAGCTCATTGCAAACAGCTTCAAAAGTGGATCTCGGGGGGGGCTAGCATATATATATATATATGTGTGTATCTATGTATGTATATATATATATGTATGTGTGTGTGTGTGATATGATATTGAACTATGGCTTGTGAATAATGGACCCTCTGGTGTTCAGGGCACCTCATTGCTGCAGTTGTTGAGCAGCACCGTGCTCAAGGCCATTCCTGGAACATGGAGACCGGTTTCTTGGCAGCGGAAACCAATGATTTTTGCTTGGGTCTTATATAAACATGAGGAAATCAAGATGAACCTAGACACTTGGCTCCCAAAATCTTTCACACCTCAAGCAATGTTGAAAACCTGTGGAGGTTTGACGTCTTTTTAGATGCAACAAGGTGCAAGGCTCCAAGACCGATGACGGTCTATTTGATCCCATCTTCAGTGTCTTTTTACCGACCTTTCCCGGCACCTTGCGATCACAAACCGGAAAGAAAATGATATTTGCTCTACCCTCTGGTAATTTAATATATATATATATGTGATACACTCATATATATATATATACATAGCTATGGAAAAACACCATGTTCAAACATCTCTAGTAGGCAAATCAGGTAAATCATCGAACTAAATGGGCCATGGCTTCCATGGCAAACTGTTAGCCATTCACAAAGGGTAAGTGGTTCTCAGTGTCTGGCGCACCTGCAACAATCCATCCTCAGCGCGCTGCAAGAAGGGGCGACCAGGGACCACCGGCAAATTATCTCAACATATCTACATATGATGATTTTGATTGCCATTGTGATTATGAAGTATGGTGATTTTATTGTTATTATTGTTTCTATTGTTGTTGTTGTTGTTGTTGTTGTTGTTGTTGTTGTTGTTGTTGGGTAGGGCTACAAAGCTGGTGTGCACAAAAGCAGCTTCGCACAGAACTCGAAAAAACCAACCGCCACGCATGTCTAAAAGTGCTCTATTGGCATGATATGTAATTGGATCCTATAAGTTCATATGAGGATATATTAGGTGATATGTTTGAAAACATTAGAATATTCAGAATAAATGTTTCCCCCACCCATCTGTTGTGAGAAATTTCAGGGGCAGCAACAGAAAGCAGCTTGGCTCAAAGTGATGGACTCCCCTTAGATGGATCCTGAAACTGGTGACGAGGTTTCCCGGCTTTCCCGACCCTTAGTTCCTTCGTTTTCCTTTTGGAGCACGACAAGATAACCCTCTGATACCGCTGATATCCATTGATCATATAGTTGATCTAGAGGTTTTGATAGGGGAACATGCTTGAACTGATTCATGGCGCTGAAATCCATCGCCATAGCCACGATACGTTCTCGGGTGGGCAAGTGTTTCTTCTCAAACCACCGAAGCGCCGCCAGACCCTCAAGGAGAGTCCTAAGCCGACCAGGTGGTCGGCCAGGGGACCGCAGGTCCCCAGAAAAAGGTATGGCAAAGTGGACCAAAAAATTGCCCAAAAATGGCCGAAATAAAAAGAATGATTTTCAAAATATGGATATAACATGATGATGATACATGATGTAACTACGTAGTCTGAACCCTTGCCACAATAAAATAATATTCAACACATGGTGAATAAACTTTGGCATTCAAAATCAAGCAGCAAACCGCTTAAACAGTTCGATTGCCAACCTCTGATCCGTCATTAGTCGACCTATTGCTTGGTAACTGAGAATATTTTTCAGGTCAGTTAACCCTAGTTATATATATATATATATATACATATTATATATTATATATATATATCTATATCACCGCATGTCCCGACCCCCCCTTGGGCTTGCAACGCAGTTGTGAGGAAGTTCAGGAAGAGCATGGTCAGGATGAAGTCGAAGCCTTGCGCCCCACCAATGGTCGGCCCAGAGTGGGGCAGCTTTTGGTTGACCAAAAAGTGAGGAAACTGGGAATCTAGGTACCCTCTGGTTATGTCAAAATAGCTATTGAAAAATGGCCATAGAAATAGTGGAATTATCCATTAAAAATGGTGGATCTGTCCATAGTTATGTTAGTTTACCAGAGGGTCACTTTAGTAACTTTTGTAGCTAAGGTAACTTAGGAATAAGGAAGCAACAAATCGAGGAATGAAGCAACAGAAAAACAATCTGGAAATGAAGTCTCAATACAGGGATAAGCACACATGATTGATGATTGCAGCGTATGCAAATCAATCTGCAATTTTTCAGGCATTACAGCAGGTTTCACACACACAACGGACGGAGCTGCCATCTGGGGGTGTGACCACATACTGACGCAATCTGCTTGTTCACCAAGATGATACTGACCTGGGTCAAAAAGAGCTCGTGAATGTCAACTCCGGAGTAATAAACCCCTGGCCTGCTTAATTTCAGGGTATAATTTTCCAAATTTTGGGGAATCCCATGTTTTTATTTTTCAGCCGGGGTTTCTATTCTACTCAATCAATTGGGTGTCCTCCAGATGTAAGTTGTTTTATGAACCCCAATCACTCATCTACATCCACGATAACACCATTGAGCTCCACTGCACTGGAAACGATGTTGAAGGATGCCGCGAAGAGCACCGACATCACGCGGGCGCTTGGTGAGCTGTGGGTGAAAAGCCAACACCCAGTAAGGACTTAGCTGGTTGGTGGTGGGGCTAGTGGCTACTCCCTCAAAAAATGTGCTGGTCATTGGAGATCCTCACACCTATGGTTGAACAATGTTGAAGATAACACGATTTAAAACCACCAACTAGTTCGACATAACAAGGTTGCTTTCAAAATGAGACAGTGTAACCCACCATTCAACGAACAACTGGGTTCAATGCACCAAAAAAAGTAGGGCCTGGCCAAACACTCTGGTGTCTCTGTTTTTTGTAGCCCAAAGGAGGGCCTGTGGCAATCTGTGGATACCATGCCAGTGGTTTCAGTCGATCTTTTTGGCTACCTTGGCCACTGAGGCTGTTGTGTTCCAAGGCTGAGGGGGGCCAATGATCTCCATGTCTCTACAGCTGCGAAACATGGACAGCAAGTCATCATCAGATCCAGACGGCTCGCTTCATCTCGCTAGTCTTGGGTTGGAACCCTCTACTCTCCAGGAAATATGGGTTCGAAAGTTCCCCTTTTTGTTGGAATCCCTCTTGTCGTAGTGGCTATGCATCTGTCTCTATTTATATATATATATATATAAAGTTCTATTTATGCATTTGTGTGTCTTCCTATATATGTATATGTATAGGTATATACATATAAGTATTATATATCATTACGATTAGCATTACATCAGAATCAATAAATACAAAATACAATATATTGCAATGAATTTCCATGAAGAATTCTTGGTTGATATCCCCATGTTTGATGCTTCATCCCTTCCGTTGTTTCCTCCAGCCATGGCATCCATTTTGTCACGCCGTCGTCGCGCCCTCCTCGAAGCCGTCGTCGAAGCCGGAAACCGCCGGAAACGCCGGTGTTCTCCGTTCACCTGGCGGCCATCAAATGCGGTCAACTCATGAGATATAGCACCCCAAAAGGAGAGAGCTAGGATTTTAGTGAGATTTTACTGTTCTATTTCGTTGATTCTTTTTTGGGAGTTCGGTTTGAGGGAACATGTTCGCCAGAAACCCTGGTTTTCACCATGAAGAAATTTGAAGGTAGTGCACATGTTCCCTTGATCCAACTCTGGGAATAAGAATAGGGGGGATGTACAGACTGGTAATCATGGCAATGGGAAATCCCAATGGGGAGTGTTCCATTGCCAGGACCCAACAAAATGGCCAACCAATACATGGATGCAACCGATGCAACTAACCAAAAATTACAAAAACAGATGGATTCAACTGACCAACAAGAGCTGGATACAGTAACTTCACCATCTTGCAGCATCCTTGCGAACCTGATCATCCTTGGCTACTCGATGGTGTCACGAATACCTCAGTCTCGGATTCTGGCAGCTGAAGTTGAGAATCCCATGACAGACGTCCAGTGATTCTGCCAGGAGGCAATCCAGCCCAAGCATAGAGGAAAAAGAGGCCTAAACCTCGGTCCAGAGATCACGGAGCGACTCCACCAATGGATACTATTGGTTCTCAAATAGTTTCAAAACATGCAAGTCCCTAGTTCAGGTGATTCCAACAGCCGCTTATGTGATCGAGCCTCAAGGCCCAGGGTCCAAATGGAAAATTCCCCACATAGATTATGTTTACATTAATGTTTACATTCAAACCTCCATCTACAGGGAACTTTCCAGCCAGCCATGATTGATCACCGGACGGGATATCAGTTCAGTTCGACTCTTCTCAGGACCTGAGACTTTGGCCGGAAAAGAATGATGCAACCATGGCCAACCAGAGCTGCATGTAGATCGGTCGATTGACGGGTTTCCACAGCATGGCCACCTGGCGGGCACAACGAGCAGGAGATGAACCCAACAAATCTGAGGGGAAATTCAGGGCCCAAAACAGGACCCAAGTCCCTATGAAACGATCAAATGCCTTTGTTTGGGAAGCCGCGCTGTGGCAATAACCTCCGTTTTTCATTGTTTGAATGGACACTAGTATGGGCAATCCACTTGTAGACCCCTCACTTGTCGCGTCTAATGCAGGGATACATCCAAGACATCAAAGCTAGACGACAGTATGGCCCGCAAGAAAGCAGGAGGGGGACACGAGAAGAGAATGCACAAAATATGACGATGAATGATCTCGATTTGATGTTGATTTTGATGATGATATTGATGATGGAACAACTAAAGGTGACGGTATTTTACGGTGATGGTGATAATGTTGATGATGCCCCAAGCTACCCAGAAAATCTACTTGGGAAGAAAGACAAGTAGTAGGTAAAACCCAGACTGGGAAGTCTGGGAAGAAACATGAGAAACCCAGGCTGGGAAGTGTGGAAGAAACGTTTGTGGCAAAGAAAGTCACATTAAACAATGACAAATGTTCAGAATCATAGTTATAATCTCATGTTTCATGTTTTGTTTGCCCGCCCTGACCCCCCCTTTCCACTAGTGAGTGTTGAACAAATTGGCGCCCCATTTTGTTTGCGATCCAAGAATGGAAGTAATACACCATGAGTCAGTCACAAAGCCTTTGGCATGATCCAAAAAGCTCAAATATCCATCCAAATAGTTTAATTGAACTTTAAAGCATCTTTTTGTAAAGGCATCTGCGTGTAAAAGCTTGTGTGTGTGTGTAAAAGCGTCTGTGAAAAGGCTTCTGTGTGAAAAGCGTTTGGGTGTAAAAGCCGCTCTGTGTAACGGCTTCTTTGTGTACAGACATCTGTGTAAAGCTTTTGTGTGTGTGTGTGAGGGCGTCTGTAACAGCATAGGTGGTTTGCCAACATATCGAATCCAGCTAGAATCCATTGACATTGTTTCCCTAACTGTCATTCAGGTGGCAGCCCTGGAGCAAACACCTGTGCGGAGAAAACATGTATCAAACTGTAGATGCATATTTTATCAGTCATCAGTCATCAGTCATCATCATCATCATCATCTTCTTCTTCTTCTTCTTCTTAATCGTCATTCATCTTTCATCGTTCATCATCATATCTTCTTCTGCATTATCTCCGGACCATACTGTCGTCTAGAGTCTAGTGCTTACATCCAGTAATTTAAAAATATTGGTGATTTGGACATAACCTTAGAAACAACGGCGCCTTTGTCCAATTCTCTGAATGTTGTTTGTCATGTTCCCCCCCGCCAACGGCCCAAGAATGAAGGTTTGGGGCGCCAATTTTTGGGAACCTTTCCAGCCTCAAGTTTGTTCCAACCAGATCAGCACTGGATATATCTCCCCATCTTAGATGGTTGAATAATATTACAGTAAATCCCTGTGGTTGCTCGTTGAATAACATTAAATGGGCTTGGCACCTCATAGTAGAGGAAATGCAGGCCCACCACAATGCCCAGGAAGAGCAATAGTAGGCCCAGATCGCTGTAGAGCTGGCAGAGGCTGTGAGCATGGATGCATGGTGACTGTAATGGTGCTTGCAATTTAGCTATTGGGATTCCTGAGCTGAGTGATCTTAGAACATATGGTTGGGAACTGGGCTTTTGGATTATGCCATATATTCCAGATATCTCAAGTATGAATAAGTATCATGGATTTGGCAAACCATTTGCTAAATTCCGAGACCATCCGAGCACACTCCAGCTGACAAGATTCCCTTGAAGCCTGGCATTCCAGATCTAGGTTATGATATACTTAGTACCAGTTCAATTCAGCTATAACATCCCATGGAAGATCATTACTTAAAAAGAGTCAGAACCTACGGGCCGTCTACGGGCTCCTTGGTCTTGAATCTTAATCTTTGACCAGCCCAGATTGCAGGGGTCTACCATGGGTCTACCCAGCAGACCCGAGCCGCCTCCGGATGGATGCTGCGCAGCAGTATCTGCCCTGCGGCCGAGATAGGGATGGCACCCGCAGCACCCTCCATCGCTTCAGACATCTGCTGTTCGGTCGGATGGGCGAACCCCAAAGTCATCCCACGGTTCAAAAAAAACAAAATAGTTAACAGATGTTTTGAGATAGCCGCCATGAAATGGCGCATACCCCCATTTCGAGCCAAACGATTTCAAGATTTCTTCATTCATGGCTTCGAAATGTTGTGGCTTGTGGATACCCTGATTTCACCTGTTTGGCGGAAATAGCTGAAGCATCAGCCACATGCAGCAGCCAAAGGCAATCCTTGCAGTGGGTTGCCGAGTGAAATCTGGTCCAACAAAGCAGGAAATAAAGGCCGAACATGGCTGTGTAACCAACCTGAATATTTTTCGAGAATGCTTGCATGTTGTCCATGCTCAAGGTTTCCACAAAGCTTATGACAGCATACTTTGCATCGAGTTCGCATTGCACCTAACTTGACCATCGCACATCATCCACTTAGAATCTGAACCTTGCCAACTTTTGGATCTTTTGGTGGGATATTCCTGCACAGTCCCCTGCGATCCTTTTTTGCTCCTCGAAGACTGCTTCTGGCGCCGGTCCCCTTGTGGGTCTGTCCGCAGGCATGCAGTCAAGACCTGGGGTCGATGGATTGCCATGAGCCACCTGGTCTTTTGCGTGGCATACCCAAGGAACGCCCCAAAAACGATAGGTTGGTTTGCAAATAGGCTAACTGATGGATCTATGGTCACACGTACCGTTGGACCCGTGGATTATTGTATCGTGGGTTGTCTGAAAATAGGGTACCTCAAATTATCCACTGGTTGATCATAATTTTTCCCCCATACATTTGCAATTTCTGGCTCACCTCAGACTGGTTCGCACAGAAATGAATGGGAATTGATGATTTAAACCGAGTTAACCATTGAATTTTGGGGTACTGTTGGACAAACCCTTTTGTCTTTCTTTTAGATGTTTTTACGGCAAACTGTTCGAGCCATTACCACATTGGCAGTTGACGATGATATCATATGATATCTCTATGTCTATGAGGGTACAAATGTTCAAGGCGACGTGGTTTCTGTGTTCAAAGTTCCATGAATCTTATTCAATTGATTAAATTACCTTATGTTTCATGTTCTCAAAATCCGATCCTAAGATATTGATAGCTGCGGAAGACCTTGGGATCAA